TTAAGCCCCCACCGCATCCCCGGACGTGCGCAGCTCCTCCTCCGCCGCCGCCGCCACCACTCGCTCAAGCTGGCATACGGTATGGGACTACGTCATAGCTAGCTATGAGAATAGGATCCCCGTCCCCCATTTCCATCGCCTACTACTTCCGCCATGGGGATGCCATCATCCTACTCTACGTGTGTCCTCTGCTCCCTCCCAAACCCTAGGAGGCGCCACCGCCACCTTCAACTACAAGGCCGACATCAACGGCGGCGACTTCTAGGTCGCTCTGCGAAGGATGGAGGGCAACCACGATGCCTTCACGACCTCCAAGGCCGACAACCGCCAAGCCACTCAAGGTTGCGGGCATCCCCTAGAAAGATCCACATCTGGGAAGCAAGGACCGGGCTGGCTCCGACCGGGACAGTGTCGATCATGCGGTGCCACAGGCCGGGAGGGCCATGTGCTTGCCGGTCGGCAGTCATCCTGGCCGAGCTGCCGCCAGACCACCACTTGCTAGCGCCGCCGGATCCACCAGTCGCGAGTGCCATTGGGCCACCGTGCGCGTCGCCGCCAGATCCACAATCCAGTCGTGGGCGCCGCCGGGCAGGAACAGGCACCGTCGGGCCCCTCACATGCGGTCGAGCAAGGAGCGTCTCTCGAAAGGTCACCCTTCTACTTCTATTTCGGTTGATAAAAAGATTTATTAAATTTCGGAGTGTTTTATCCCAATCAATGATAACCAATTTTGGTGCTGCTTTTGTTGATGCCAAATTTGATTGCCGAACCAGGTGTCTTCTCTCATGCAGAGACTGTGGGTGCACCGGTTTCTTACCAGCGACGTGATGCTCTGGAAGAGTTGGAAGAGGCTTCTGACCCTCATAAAGAAGAGTTAAACGAGATGGACGCACCAAAACAAGACCAAGATGAAGGTGAGACATGCACATGGTGTGCCTGTTTCCATTTATTTTCTGAAGCAGCTGCACGTTATAGCTATTTTTTTAACTTTTGTTTTTGTATTGAATTTTCAGACGTCGTTATCATTGAGGATGAGAAGCTAATGGAAGAGACCTCAGTAGAAGAGCCATCTATGACCAATCAGGAGTGTACGGATAAATCGGAAATGCAAGAACACCAATTGGACGATGAGGAGTGTCATGCTCCCTTGGTGACCCCCGAGGTAGTTTCATTCCACACTAAAATACATATCATTGCCTTCGCTGATTGTTTACTTAGAAGGTCTGGCTAACTAGCAATATAAAATATATGTAACTTGAGACAACTGCAAAAACATCCTGAGCTTTGGTCTGATGTTTGTTGTTCTCATTTGTAGCAGCAGTGGTGGTTTGCAAAATCGCAGTGTCAACCACAGCAAAATCATGATGGGCAAAAGCGATAGTTTCTTAGGTTACTCAGTTGATATGAAGGGGTATTGCCAACTCTTTCCTTCTGAGATCTGAATCAAATTTCTGCATGATTATTTTTATACTGTGTCCAATAAATGTCAAAATTCTTAATATATTTATTACTAAGATTCTTATGTTTGCTATGTGGTTCAGGCGATAACACAGATGTCAAAGGTGGTCTGCAGTTTCAATTAATACTGTCAAAATGGTTTTTGTGATGCAGTTTCAAATATTATAGCTAAATTAGTGTAGAAATTGAAACTCCCTGCCATTTTTTTCTTGAAACTCCCTGCCATTTATTACTAAGATTTTTATACAGTGAATGTGCTTATTTTGTCGACCCCTACGTTCTGACTGTTGGCCATAACTACTCATGTACAAGTGTCACTTATATTTCTTTTCAGAAATACAAGTGGGCACACTTGATCAGGAAAGATATCTTTTTCTTTTTTCTTTAGAGCACCATGCATTCTTCGGACAACCGGAATCTTCGGCTATAATCGTGGTCTACTGCTCTCTGTGCTGACCAGAATACTGGCACATTTGCTTAGTCAATGTTTCAACCAGTTGGAGATGATATGAGGACAGATTGCATTAGCCGAAGAAGATCAAACGACGTGTCGTAACATAATACATGGTGCTCGGGGACTAGGCTGTAGGGGGTATTAACCCTATACCCTTTACGGCTAGGTTTGGGCGGCCGGACCTAGGGGTATCATGACAAGGACATTGTGGAGAAAGCGTCATAATGAAAATTATATTAAATATAAATATTAGAAGTGTACTTATCTTTGGATAGAAATCTGGTCGATGGAGATAAAGTTGTCCGGTCCTTGTGCTTTTCGGCTGTTGTGATGGTGGTCGTGGTTGTCATAGCGCCGTTCTTCGTGGCAATTATCATTGCGACGTGGTGCGGTGGTTGAGGTGGTGGAACTCGGCGGAGCCGCCGGGACGTGGTCCGTGGTCGATGTGGTCGGAGCTCGGGCGGAGCTGCTCGAGATGTGGTCGGCGTGGTCCGTGATCGGCGTGGTCGGAGCTCGGCGAAGCCGCTCGGGACATGGTCAACGTGGTCCGTGGTCGACGTGGCTGCTCGATCAGTTCGGTGGTCGGAGGGCATGTACCTAGCTCCATCGCATGGGAGGCAAAAGCCCTCGGACATGTCCGGCCGAGGTCGGGCGCAGTTGGAGATCTTCCTTGCTTGCATGAAGGTTACGGAGTAGCCTGATGGCAATTTAGTACATTGTATGTGGTCTTCATATTTGGAGTCGGAGAAGCACACGGAGTCCTTCCAGGTTGTCGCTGTACATTGTGTATGAATACATCCATAACACGAACACCCATAGTTGGCCCACTTGCTTGTACTCCGTCTTCTTGCATGGCTGCTTGACGTGATCTTCATCGTGCATGTAATGGCAAGCCATCATGCAAATCTGGTGTCGTAGCTCCATGTGGATGCCGCGTGGAGACCAAAAAAACTAGACGCTTGAGTCGAAACGGGACCATCTACGCCACCGGGCCGGACCGAGATCGATCCGATCGACTCTTGTGATATGTCATAGATGTTAGGGCTGCTGCTTGTCTTAGTGCACCATTACTTCTTGATACTCCTCAATCCGAATCATGTTGACGAAGTTGCGTGGCTTTGGCCGAGGTCGATGTATAAAACATAGATCCGAGCAGCGTTGTATATTGTACGCGTAGTTGGAAGCAGTGTTTCGTAGGCCATAGGGCTGAGCCTAGTAATTCTCCATCAAGGCTTCGCACTCGGAGAGCTGGAGACCCGTTGTGGGGGCTGGTCGGCGACGAACGGAGCGCCCTTCAGGAGTAAACGTGACCACGAGATCCGTACCGAGTCGTGCAGGATGACTGGCCCGAGCAGGTCGGGTAGATCTGTTGTGGGGAGTGGTTACCTGCTCGGTTGGTTGATTTTGAATCGAATCTACCAGAGCTAGGGTTTCAGCAAGCTTGGTGCTGACCTGATCGATGCAGTCAAGCAGGTCGGTGTTGTCAATCTGCCTCCCTTTGTAGCGAGGAAGTGAACGACGGGTTGTTGGCGTGGCTGAAGACGATGCTGGTGAAGCAGTGGTCGACGCAGATTGGATCTGTGCCTCCTCCGTGATCATGGCGATAAAGTTGTCGGAGCCAGTGGTCCAGGTGATCTGGCCGATGGTGAACGTGAGGCCGTTCGGCGTAGCCATAGAGCCAAGGATGATGACCATCTTGTTCGTTTGGGGAGCAGTACGCACACCCCCTACCTGGTGCGCCACTGTCGACGAAATATGGTCGGCAGTCTACCTAGGGGTATGCCCAAGGTAGTAGATTATCGGCAGACAGGTGCGCAAGCTACGAACGAGATGATGACGCAAGACAGATACGAGGTTTTATCCAGGTTCGGCCGCCGTGAGGACGTAATACCTACGTGCTGCGTCTGATTGTATTGCTATACTTCAACATGAATCGTGCTGATAGTTTCGCAAGGACATTATTATATAGGGAGTTCCCAGAACACTACCGGTGGATCAGTGGTCGCAAGGTGTGGCAGACAAAAAAGAAACAGCTAGGACAGATTGGAAGAAAAATATATATATAAGACATGAGGGAAGGTATGTTTGAAGGGTTATCATCAAGAAATGGCATATATACCTACATTCCACACTAATGCTAGAATGTTCAATCTCGCCATGGCACTATCAAATTCTAGGTGGAGCGAAAATATTTATTACTGGGAGCGAAATTACCCTAAATATGTAACAAAGGTTTCGGGTCATAAATACTGATAAGTGTCGCAAAATTTGGTTCAACTTTTCTATAAAAAACAGTAATTTGATTTATGTACATCAAATAAACAACTGATCTTCTCTGTCAGAAAATTAGGAGGCTTTCTTGTCTATAATTTCATGAAGTCGTGGGACAGCGTAAGATTGCCACGGATCACCACTATAAGCATATATAGTCTCCAACTATATTCCGTACACTACATACAATACTAACATATTATATTCTATACCATGCGCAGCTATCATCTATACTGAGGAAGGAATTCTTAGCTGACATTTTGAGTCCTCGTAAGCGAATGTTTCAACATCCACGAAGATGTGCAATAAATGATAAAGGACTTACGCCAAATATAACTTAGGCTATAATGTAATAATTGGGTAAAGGTTAACTACAAAATAACAAATTGGATATTTTTATGATCATTCTCTAGATAAAACCATTGCGTTAGCACAGGCGTTATACTAGTTTGTTATAAAAAAACTAAAGGAAACAAGGGACGCTAATGTAAATACTACTATGATATTATACAGTATCGTTGACAACGACATGCCTCTCAAGATCTGTCAGGTCAGTATTCTGGGTGTGTTCAAAGGGTAAATATATGTGCATGTGTTTGTAAGGATTAGTGTGCGTCCAAGCGTCTGCGTCTTGTACAGTTGTACTGAGATTCTCAGAATAAAATTGCTACGTAGAATCCAAGCTAGAAGGCAGAGAGAGGGGCACCGTATCTGGCCCTTTTATTATTTTCATTCACGTGTTCCTCTGTTGCAAACAAACCTTCAAGCATTACATACAAGGCAGAAAATGCATGGGACCAAGCAAAGCTGAACATACCGTCGTGTAGAACGCGTAGTGCGAGAGGATCTTGATGACAACGAAGGTGATTTTGAGGGGGAACCACCACCGCGCCTTGTTCCACCGCGTCATCGCTTGCTCTCGCCGCTCCACTGGCATGTCCGCGAACTTGCGGACGTAGGGGAACTTGCCGGAGATGCAGAGTCGCCCACAGAGAGCCAACGTGCCCACCTTGGTGCTCAGGATCCAGAGCACGACGTTCACCAGCACCACCGCCTCCCAAACGCATCGAGTGACCAGCTCCGCGACCTTTGATTAATTTCGTCCCACGCATGGATCATCGGCGATTCGATCGGCGCCGATCGATGTGAGCTAGTAGCTCACCTCTTCGGGGATGGTACCGTCGGCCGCAGAGGCGAGGTAGAACCGCTCGAGATCCTTGCGGCCTTCGCCGTCGCTGTCGCCGTGGATCCGTTCCGCCGTCACCGGCAGGGACGGAATGAGCGCGCCGCACATGGTGCGGAGCGCCTCCATCTGCGCCGGGTGCAGCCCGTGCGTGTACCTCTCGCGCCTGCACCCCCGCAGCAGTGGGTGGCCCCTCCTCCGACGCCGTGTCGCCGCCGCCTTCGCCTCCTCCTGCGCCGCCATTACCAGCTGCTACTAGCTGGCGTGTGCCGAGATCTCTCGTGTAGTTTGCCTTGTAGGAGGACTGCGGGAATGTGTGCTGACGCGTGACGCGTGACGCGTCTGCGTATATATGGAGGCACTCGTTTTCAGTTTGCTGCACTCGTTTAATTTTCACAGTGACAAGACAATGACAGTGTTGTTGGGGAGGCAGCATCACAGTTAATACGACTCCATCACCCAAATTAAGCCATGGCAGCGACTGATCATGCTTGGTAGAAGTTGCACCTGCGCATAATGACTTAATGAGCGATGGGGCACAAGTTTTTGTTTCTAGGAAAAATACTACTTACGGGACATCTGCGGAGATATCACAATCTATTGTACGTGCCCTTCCCAAATACAGTAAATTCTACGGCTTTTCCTAGCAGGTGCTGGAGCTAAAGAAAGATGGTGGATGGTGTAGCACTTCATAATCATAATCTATTGGCCGTTGGCTAGTATATATACAGTTAATATTCTAATTTCATACGTCCGTTTCAAATATGGTCTAGCTTCTATACTATACTAATATATAAAAACTCAAGTGTTGTTGCACTCTGACACTTGAAATTTTCAAATCGCAACGCCCCTTCGTTTCCCACGCCCGCATCGCTCAGATGCCTCGCCCTGCCTGCACCACCAGTTTGCACACATGGACTGCAGTTTCCGCTCCGCTTCCCTCGTGCAGACGGAGACCGCATGCGTCCCGCTCCGTATCATGCACGTGGGGACCGCCTTCCCCTGCTCTGTATCGTGCTCGCACCCTCGCCCACGGATGTGCGTCGTGTGACTCTGGCCGTCCCATTCAACGTTTGAAACAAGAAAAAAACTTGCTGCAACATACGTCTGAAACAGATAAAACATTTGGAACAAACTCGTGCAACATCTGTGTAAAACATATACAACATACATATAAAACACTTGCAACATGCGTCTGAAATGGATGAAACATTTAGAACAACATTTGCAACATCTGTGTGAAACATATGCAACATCCAGATAAAACACTTACAACATACGTTTCAAAAACAAATGAAACATTTCGAACAAACGCTTGCAACATACGTGTATAACCATTGCAACATGTGTAACATCCCAATCTACTTTTGCAATATCCTTATGAAACACTTGCAACATACCTCTGAAACATCTAAAATACTTAAAACATACGCTTACAACATGCGCTTCTTCCTGTCGTGGTGTCTTTGGCGAACCGCGGGAGACGATGTCCCGGCCGGCGATGACCTTCACCTAGTGGCGTCAGGGTGGTGGTGGCATGGTGCACGCCGTGGCCGTGACAGGCGAGCGCGGAGTGGGGCGCGGCGGTGGATGGTCGTGGTGGCGAGACAGAGTGGGGGCGGCGAAGCAGAGTGGGCGGCGCGGGCCATGATGGGTGTGTGCGTGGGGAGATGGCTAAGGCCGCGTAGAAGAGTGGCGCGACGCGGCATAGGATAGGGGCACACGCGAGGAGATGGCTGCCGCGGCGATGCGGATTGGGGCGAGCAGATGGCCGCACGGTGCGGTGAAAGCACGCGATAAGTGAACAGAGTGGGGAGATATTTTTGAGAGAGATGAGGAGACGTAGAGAGCAGGCAGGCCTGTTGGGCCGGTAGCGGTAGCTCGTAGGCTCGTTAAGGAGCGTCCGGGCAAACGGACGCCCTAACTGAAGGTTCACCGATACCCTAAACATATATTCGCCATAAAATGTTCTCTTATAGAGTTTCTCCATATATTTTAGTGAATAATTTTCCCCGTCTTTATTCCTCACGAAATGAAGCCCAAACAAGATTCAATACAGCGTATTCGAGGGCGCCTGCCAAAGGAGTCCAAATCTAAACTACTAACCACCTGAAAAGCTATATTATAAAGAAAGGTTTAAGCCCCTCACATCAGATCTTGCCGCACCTACTGGAAGTGCAGCTCGGTACGGTGTTAGGTATTTAGTCCCCATTGAGCTTGTTACGCGTTGTGACACATCCCAGGTTATCCTCAATAGTTCTCTTGTTCTTGACTCCAGTACACTAATGTGCAATTCCAGCTCTTCCCATTCATGTTGCTTGAAGAGCGGGGGTGCCATCTTCTTAGTGTTCTTGTTGTAGCTGAAAGCACCAACCTAAGGAGCCCTCCAATATTCTCCCTAAAAATATAAAGTACTTTGATTTTTCCATAAGACCCAAAGCAAGGTTGCACAAAAAACATTTCTAAGGAAATGTTTCTTGCCACAAATCCACCATTTTACCACAGATTCATAGTTTGCTCCAATATCACAGTTCAAACATGAGATATAACTTTCCAAATATTAGAGGCTACACAGTAATCAAAGAAGATATGATGTATTATTTCCACTTCAGAACAAAACAAAGAAGAAATGTCATTTACCAATCTTCTCTTTGCTAAATTGTCTCTAGTTAGAAGACGATTATTACCTACGAGCCAAAGAAAAATGCGCACCCTAGGAGGTATACAGATCTTCCACACAGGAAGTGTGTACACAGGGGTATATAATGCCTCTATAGGAAACTATGGCATAGCAAGATTGGACAGAGTAATAACCTCTAGATTCATATGCCCAACACATGGTATCACATTCTTCATGAAAGGAAATAGATTCCGCTATAGCTTCTAAATCAAACCAGAGATTCATCATTTTAGGGGAGAAAGACCTCCTAAAAGTCAGCTTTGGGGTCTCCCCATCCCAAAGTTTAGAGATGGTTTTGTTAACTTCATAAGTAACAATGTAGATAAGCCAAAACTGGATGGCTAGACTAGAGTTACCAAACCAAAAATCTTCCCCAAAACACTTTTTCATATCATCTCCTAGTATCCCTTGTAACCTATCTTAGCAGCCTTAGCCTCCCAGATAACCCATTTCCAGAAAGGGGTGGCATTAAAGTCATAGCAGGAGAAAAAAAATTCGGGTTAATGTTAGATTTCTCATCAACTACTTTCTTCAATAGAGAGTTATCACTTGAGTGATACCTAGCAACCCAGGATGCAAGCAAGCACAAATTGAGGCAACAAAGATTTGTTATGCTGAGCCCCTGATATTCTTTATTTTGGGCTATCAATTGCCAACTTGCTAAATGATATTTGTGACCATTGTCTTGATTATTCCAGAAAAAAGTGACCCATATGAGAGATGAGAGTTTGTAGCTTCTACTTCCCACTTGGGAAACTTAATGACGGACATCAAGTAAATTGGAATATTGGGCAAACAAGATTTAAATAAGGCTAGCTTCCCCCATATAAGAGGAGCCTATGCCTGTAACTAGTAATTCTCTTAACTATCTTATCTATTATTGGTTGTCTGTCCTCTCTTTTGAGCTTAGCAAAATGAAGGGGGATCCTAGATATTTAAAAGGGAAGGTACCTCTTTCACAATATAAAAGCCTAGAGAAGCTATTTGCTTCCTTCCCAATATCAATAGTCAACAAGTCACATTTAACTTTATTGATTCTCATGCCTAATTGTTGGGGTCAACATACCCCAGGTATCTCATGGCACCGATTAGTTGGCCACTCGGGCGGCCCAACTAGCCATGGTACAGTATCTACGGCCCACCTAAGCCATCCAGGCCCTGGGCCGGACACCAAGACAAGCGGTCTACCATGACCTCTCATCTCTCCTTCCATTGCATGATATGCAGCCGCACTCGACCTCTCCCTCGTTTCGACCCCTGAGGAGAGACAAGGAGGGGTTGGGCTCCATCAAGTACGCCAACCCTAACACGGACATGCACGCTCCACTCACACCGCTAGTACTAAGGGGACGACCATCTCTCACGACATGAGATCTCAGGGCAGATGCCATCCCTGCATGCCCCTGCACAGACAAGACAACAAGGTACGGTGCAGCATCGACCAAAGTCAGCCTGACAAGATCGATGGGCGTACGGCCCCACCCGCTATGGGATGGGGCGCATGACTCCGGCCTTGACTTCACAAGACCAACCAGACCACCAGGGGCCTCGACCTAGCCACCCAGGGTCGAGACCCATGGCACCATGACCAGGAAAGGCGACCAATGACCCGAGAGCAGCCACTTGCTCCCTCATTGTCGCCACGGCACCATCAGTAGAATAGGAGACGATGACGAAGGCCACGGTAAGATCATGTTGTGCAGGACAAGTTGGTGAACCACCATCGTGCCAATAGTGCCGCCATGACTAACACTGTAGCATCATGCCATGTCAGGTCACGACGTGGGAACAAGACCACAACGACCACGACAATGACTATGCCTGGACGTACGATGAGGCCAAGACAAGATAACATGGATTATTGGCCAAGTTTACCCGCTTCTCCCTCCCTCGGGTCTTGACCACTCGGGCCGAGAGAACCCATCTCTCTACATGTAACCTGGCCCTCGAACTCTATATAAGGGCGGTCAGACCTCCCTTCCGGGGGGACGAACTCTCGAGACTTCATTTGGCCTTTCATTCACCTCACCCCTCCTACCTTATTCCCTTAGCTCACACACCCCTATTGTAAGACTTCAGAGCACTTAAACCGAGGAACACAGATTCAAACCACCTCTGAGATTGGACGTAGGGCTCCGACCTGAACCAGTATAATTTCTTGTGTCTTTGAGTGCTACAATCATCTTCCTAGAGTAGCGCAACTCACGTATAAATTCACTAGTCGACTTACAAAACACCGACACTGATAAACTTTCAAAGCAGTCTAAGAGTCACTTCAAATTCCAAGCCTTGACTATGTCATTTTCTAAGATGAGTATAGTATCATCAGCATATTGCAGGGATACTATACCTCCGATTGACATTTGGCATCAAACCAACAATTAAACCATTATTTGCTACTTTGTTGAGGATTTTGGTGAAAACGCCAATGACCAAATTGAAGAGAATGGGTGCAAGGGGATCCCTTTGCCTAAGTCCCTTCGTAGGTTAAAAATAACAATTGTTTTCATCATTAATTCTAACACAAATAAAACCATGTCTAACTATCTTCCTCTCGGTATTT